CACTCTAGCCTGGGCAACAGAGTGAGACTCTGTCTCACTAAAAAAAAAAAAAAAAAGAATCATGGTAAAGAATATTTAGACAATGAAACAATCAACAAAATGTGCTTTCCAGAGAGCTGCATCTTTTATGGTTTGCTTGCACAGTAATTTCTGAATGTGCTGTCATAATGAAGAGATTTCTAAGATTTTTTTCCTCATTAGAACTGGTAGCCAGTATATTAAATATTGATTTAAAAATAAATGAGAAGAACTGGAACCAGATTCAGAATCGTGAAAACATTTTTGCAACAGTAAAAAAACCCATATTAAACGGGGTTTAAAGAAAATTAAAACAGAAAGAAGTACAATTTGTTATAGTATCAAATTTCTATGTAGATTTTATACCTCAGTGGGGAAAAATAACTGATTCCAGTGACATTCATTTTATTTTCATCCGTGATAGTCATGGATGCTTTTATTTTCCTTGGGGTGCTGAAATCGAGCTGGAAAAAAAAGGCTCTTTGAACATAGTTTTTATTTCTTCCTACAATTTATTTGGTTTGTGGGTTGTTAGAATTGTGATTTTTAATTGCCTTCTAAAAATTGGAAATTAAAAAAAAAAAAAAAAAAGACCCGATTTGCGTTTCTGACCTGCTTCGTGCTCCAGCTGCTGCAGTCAGACAACCCCGGGTATCCCCAACGGTGCCTGTGTATGTGCACATGCTCCCTTGGGAGGGGAGAGATGAAATGGAGATAAATTTCAGATTTCTAGGTTCAGCTTGGCAACTCCAGATTGACCTCCATCTACTTATTAATTCGTACCTGAGTTTAATTACTAGGAGCTCAGCAACCTAAGGGATACTCGTCAGGGAAGCCTCAAGCCTGTGTGATGTTATGAAATGTGTTGGGATCTGCCACCCCTTGAAGGCCTAGGCGGTGTCCCTGGGTGTTCCCTGCTGAGTCAGTATCCCCACCCCTCACCCCCAGCCACCCCCTTCACCACATGGTTCCACTTCCCCTCTCAGTTCCTGCAGCTGCCCCAGGCCTCTTGGCCCCCTGACTTCTCAGCTTTGAACTCTCCTCAGACTTCATCAGGGGGCCTCCCTGACCCCCCTTAAACCAGGCCGGGAATCTCTGCAGAGTGGGGGCTGCCTCATGAAGTAGGGAGAACAAAGCTGGAGAGGCTCATGGCTGGAAAAGCAGCTCATGGCCAGGGGATGCAGCTGGAGTGGCTGTTGATAAATCCTGAAATAGGGCCTGACGGGAGCTTGTCACAAGTAAAGGAAGGTGGTGCTCTTGCTGTTGTGGTGACTTCACATCCGCAGCCAGAACCATCCGCTCTAAAGCAGTAAAGTCCAGGCTGGCGCCGTCAGAGCATCACTCACGTATCCACTGGACAGATGTGCTGTGAGCAGCTGCTGAGTGAGGCCCTGGAGACTCAGTGAGCAAAGCAGATCTCTGCCTGGAAAACAAAGGCAGGTGGAGGGTGGAGTGCCATGGGCTATTGGAAGGCGAGTCTTGCTTTAGAGAAGCTGTTTAGGGAAGGCTTCTCTGAGGAAGTGTTCTTGGAGTAGAGACTTTAATCGAATGAGCCATACAAGTGTCTGTCTGAGGAGCATTACAGACACGTGCAAAGGCTTTGTGAAAGGGCCACCCCTATGACAGATTCTGAAGCTGAAATTGTGGATGGGCTGGAGTCAGACACTAATAGGTCCCAGAAAGGATGCCAGTCCATGAAATAGAACTTGAAGATTTGACCAGGGCCAGGAGGCTCCAGTGGTCCAGTGGGAACTCCCATATCTGAACAAGAAGAGTAGAGAATCAGAGTCCAGGGGACAGTGCGAGGTCCAAGCCTGTGAGGGTTACCAGGGCTGGGGGGCTAGAGAGAGTTTGCACATGGGCACACTTCCATCCATCTTAACATGGTTCTGTGAGCCAGCTTCTCAGGAAAAGGGGCTTGAGAGCAAATAAAGCAAGAAGAGGTAGGGCAGGGAGGGAGAAACAAAGGAATGTGTTGTCAGAAAGGATAGTGTGCCCTTCGCAAATGGTGGCATCTGTCCCTGTTTTGTGCTCACTGAGGGTTTACGAAGTGCCCACTGTGTGTGGTTGGTTCGCTACTGGGTTGGAGAATTACAAAAAAATATAATGCCTCTACCTCTCGATTTCCCCAGGAACTCGTCCGTCAGCGAGGAGTCTTAACGCGCACGGAGAAGATGGTGGACAAGATGGACCAGGATCTGAAGACCAGCCAGAAGCACATCAATAGCATTAAGAGTGTGTTTGGGGGGCTTGTCAATTACTTCAAATCCAAACCAGCAGAGACCCCACCTGAGCAGAATGGCACCCTCACCTCTCAGCCCAGCAGCCGGTGAGTGTGGATATGAAGCAGTAGAAGAGGGGTTTAGTGCAAACGGCCGAGGCTTTCAGTCCGTGTCAGTGCCTTAAAGGAAGCCAGGAACCTCATAAGTTATGCATCAGAAGGGATTTGTCTTCAAACATTTTGAAACAAGAAACTTGTCTCCCCTGCTCCTGACTACGGTCATCGGATTGACATCTAGTCTGTAAATTCTGCATAAATTGGGTCTCCAGGAAATTACTACTCTAATAATTGCGACCCCTGTATTTTGAAAGAGAGGATGTTTACCTCAGACAGCTTAAACACTACAAATGTGACAGAATTTTTGCTTTAAAAAGTTTTCGTATCTTTTTCCTATCTAATTCAGTTTTCCCATTGATTTTCATTTTAAAAGTTAGATTGTTTTCCTCAGTTTTGGCTAGAAATAAATTCATACATTAGGTTTTGACAGGCATGAGTGTCACATGTTCAAGGATAAAAGACTTGAGTTTCTGCTAAAATAGATTACTACTGTTTATATCTGAGATCATTGTGTCTGTTTTTATTAGAAAAACAACATAGCCGTATTATAGGAAATCTATACTTTCTTTCTTTACCTACCCTAGCACAAAAACTGAAAATTTAGATTTTCCCCTCATTCAGTGTTTTCATAGTTTTTGTTTTTGTGTTTGTTTTTCACCAAGTCTTGCTCTTGTTGCCCAGGCTAGGGTACAGTGGCGTCATCATAGCTCATTGCAGCCTGGAACCCCTGGCTGGGCTCAAGTGATCTTCCCGCCTCAGCCTCCCGAGGAGCTGGGACTACAGGCGCATGCCACAGAGGCTGGCTCATTTTTCTATTTTTAGTGGAGACAGGGTCTCCCTCTTGCTCAAGCTGGTCTCGAACTCCTGAGCTCAAGCGATCCTCCTGCCTCTGCCTCCCTGAGTGCTAGGATTACAGGTGTGAGCCACCGCACCAGCCTTGGGATTTTCATAGTTGTAATCAGTATTTCTTTGGTTTTGTAGCCTTTTGCTTCCATTTAACCCAGAAAAATGCTTGATATAATGTGATTACACAGGTTTCATAGCCATTTCTCTCTCTTTTTGTTTTAATTCTGTAATACAGCACTACTTTTAAAACTGCATCACTGAGGTACAGTAAAATGCTTGCATCTTAAGTAGAGGGTAATGACTGTGTACCTGTGTGTACACCTGCGTGACCGCCACCCAGATCAAGGTGTAGTGTGGTGGGGAAGAAACTAGAAAGCTACTTGAGGCCTCACGGTGGGGCTGGGTAGAAGGGAATGCTGGTAAGGGAGCTAGTGGTGGTAGCAGAAGGAACAGGCAGATGAAGCTGTTGGGACTTACAGAGAGAAAGGTGAGGAGGGGAAGCAGGTCTCAGTGGGAGTCCGGGGAAGGAACCAGCCAAGGTTCTCAGGGTTGGTTTGGTTTTTGGCTCAGCTGTATAATCACCATCCATTGCAGATTTTCCAGCTCAACCCGAATTTTAAATATCTGTCACTCTTTTACTCCCAATTTTAGTTGGTTATTTTTTCCAATGTACAAATCAGAAAGATGTTTTATATCCTAATTTTTGGTAACCTTTAATTACCATAGGAGAAGGTAGGATATTCATTCACTTTGGACTAGGACATCCTCCTAGCACAAACTCAGGAGCAGAGCGAGTCCATGGAGTGGGAACCTGGCGAGTTTGTGTTTGGCGCCTTCTGTTTCCTACATGCCTCTTTACCAAGGCTGCTTCCCGGGGCTTTTGGAGGCCCCTACAGCCCTGAACATTGCTATAAAAGCCAGTAAGGTCTTGTGGCTCCAAGGGAAGTTTTCTGGGCCAGGCGCAGTGGCTCATGCCTGTAATCCCAGCACTCTAGGAGGCCAAGGCAGGAGGATCGCTTGAGGTCAGAAGTTCAAGACTAGCCTGAGCAAGAGCAAGACCCCGTCTCTACTAAGAATAGAAAGAAAAAGAAAAAAGGCAGTTTTCTGTTTTTTTGGAGCATCTTTAAAACTCAAGACCTTCCTGACAAAGGCTTCCCATTAGTGGGGCAGCCATAGTTATTTCAGTGAGGTTGGCTTCAAGGTACCCAACATTATGTGTCCTGCATAGTCTCCTGCCCCTACCTTAGCCCCAATCATCGGTCTTGCCATCACTTAGTAAATGCAAGAAAGCAGCCTTTTTTTTTTTAAAGAGATGGGGTCTCACTCTGTCACTCTGTCACTCAGCCTGGAGTAGGTGGTACAGTCATATCTCACTGCAGCCTCCAACTCCTAGGCTGAAGCAATCCTCCTGCCTAAGCCTCCTCAGTAGCAAGGACAACAAGCGTGTGACATCATACCCGGCTAATTTTTTTAATTTTTTGTAGAAATGGGGTCTCATTATGTTGCCCAGACAGGTCTTGAACACCTGAACTCAAGCAATCCTCCCTCCTTGGCCTCCCAAAGTGCTGGGATTACAGGCATGAGCTGCTGCACCCAGTAGAAAGCAAACTTTTAATTGAAGCAACTCCCACTGATTCAGCCATTACCAAATGTGCATGGAAGTAGATCTGTGCAACTTTGTAGGAGAGGCTGCTACAGTGATGTTGCATGGGTCCCCCCGTCGTGGATCCTGAGGGCCTACATTCTGCACGCCTACGCCTGTGCCTGTGCCTGGGGTTCGAAGCTGCAAGAGCACAGGCTGTCTGTTGGAAGGCATAGGGGAGGCAGACGGTCAATAGGACTGCAGTGGAGACCCAGAGGAGGGGGAGGTCGGCCCTGGTGACGGAGGAGTGCTGCACAGAGGAGCTGACCTTTTGCATGGAGTCAAGGTTGAGTGGGAGCCCACCAGTTGAAAGAGGGGGTCCAGGCAGACACACAGCAGTCAAAGCGCAGGGGAAGCCAGGATGCAGGGGGTGTTGGCTGTTCCAGGAGCCCAGCAGGCGTGTAACATTGAGGTCTGGCCTGCAGAGCTAGGCCCTGCATGCCCCTAAATCCCTCAGTTTGCAGAGATCACTACAATGTATTGGTTTTTCTATAAGATGCAGTAAATTGTGAGTAAAATTTTTGTGATCCTGTGAAAACTCTTAGTCCATAAATGCCATGAGTATTGTTACTTAAAAGCTTTTGAAATAAGCTCTTCTAATCAAACTTCTGTTTGAGTCATGCATTTCCCGTGTATATCCTTATCACATGAACCCTTCAGCCTTCTCTTCAGTTTTGTCTATCTCTTGGGAAGCCTTTTTTGTCCTTGCCCACACACTTCGAAAGCTGCTTGCTCTCATTTCCACTTACAGCTCGTGGGGGATGCGTTTCTGTCACAGATTTCACCACCCCTAATGTGAAATTCTCTAACTTATTCAAGACTTGGTTTCTGACCAAGGGCCACCACTCTCTTCACTTTCTTATCTCTTCTGACACTGTCCCTAGAAATTAGCTTTCTTTGGAGGGAGCCATTTTTCACAAAGAAACCGAGTTCACATTATTGATGTACTACTGCTGCGTGTGTGACAGCACATAGAGTAAAGTCAGTTTTGAGTCCTACGCCCAGCCTGGCAACGCACGGCACATGGTGGTGCTCAGAGGAACCAGCTATGTGTCCTAGACCTTCAGGCGCTGTTTCTGAGGAGTGAAATCCTCTAGTGTTAAATCCTTTCATGTCACAAGGCTGTGCTGTATTCTACCTGCAGCTGGAGCACTGGAGGCCTGCAGAGCCTTTGGCCTGCAGGAGTCTGGACTTGCTCTTACGAGTGGGAAGTCATTAAAGGCTGGGAGTGGTGGCTCATGCCTATAATCCCAGCACTCTGAGAGGCCCAGGCAGGAGGGTCGCTTGGGGCCAGGAGTTCCAAGACCAGCACTGGCAACATAGCAAGACCCCATCTCTACAAAAAGATTTTAAAGGTTAGCCGAGTGTGGGGTTGCACGCCTGTAGTCCCAGCTAGTTGGGAGGCTGAGGCAGGAAGATCGTTTGAGCCCAGGAGTTTGCGGCTGCAGTGAGCTAGGATGGTACCACTGTGCTCCAGCCTGGGCAACACAGCAAGATCCTGTTCATTAAAAAGAAAAGAGAGAGGTGCGTGTCAGGATTGCTTTAGAAAAATGGGCAGCGCTCATGGAGCGTAAGGGTTTGAAGGGAGGGGGTCAAGGTGAGAGGCATTGCCATAATACACATAAGGGTAAAGAGAGGTAAGGCAGAAGGAGGAACTGGGTTTCTGGGATACCTGGGGGGGTGGGAGATCAGGGGGCGTTTGTTTGCCAGGGTTGCTGGGGGTGGTGCTATGCAGAGGGAGGGCAGAAATCACCAGTAACCCTGGTTCCCAGCTTGGCTGGCAGAGTGGCGAGGCTGAGCTGAGGTGGAGGGGAGCAGGCTGTTGGGGAGGGCAGCTCCCAGCTGCAGGCACCTGTGACATCCGTGGGGGCCCAGTGTGGTGTCAGGCACAGTATGACCAACTCTGAGCTATTCAGAGATGTCTCTGTGTACAGAAGAGTCAGCTAACTAGACTTGTGGGCCAGGAAGCAAAATCAAAGCTATTTTGTGGGTACCAGTGTGACAAGAGAAAAAACCAAATTTCCACAAATTTTTAACGGCAAAATTCAACACATAAAAACAGTAATAGTTGAGCATAATTTTTTGGTAATACAGGCCTACTAATGAGAAGAATGTAATTCTTAATTGAGATTTAGAGTTAATCATCTGAGGTTCAAATGGCTGTCTGCAGAGGCCATCCTTTGCTCATCGCCACACAACAGGTGGTGACATTTTGTTATGTGTGTTTACCACAATAAATAAAGAGAACTGGGAAACAAAACAGAAACGGGAGGGCTGGATTTGGCCCATAGGTCATAGTTTGCTGACTCCGGTCTTCAGTGCCTATATGGTGGTTTCATATACTTTTCATCTGCCTGGTCCTAAGGCACCTCATTTTCTTGAGGGAGGGCCACCTAAGTAGATGCTGCACTTCTGAGGCAGGGGTCTTCATAAGCTTGCTGCGCAACCAGCTTCACTCCAGGGGAGGCTGTTGAAATCCCTGCTTTGGTCAGAAGGGGTTTTGCACAGAGGAAGTATTTTCAGCACATAGGCATTACTTGAAAAGATCAATGACCCTGTCATAGTGATTTCCCTTTTTAAAAGTTTTTTTTTTTGTGTGAACTTTTATCCAAAGATTAAAAGAAGCTGTAAGTACAAGTAAAGAACAAGAGGCAAAGTACCAGGCCAGCCATCCAAACCTCAGAAAGCTGGATGATATAGGTGAGTGGATACCTGTACACGCCCACATTTGCATTCTGGGGGGACCTCTAGGTTTGGTGTTGGTCCCGAGGGGTATGGTGAGTGGGAGTGGCCTCTGGGCATGGTTGGCAAGGGCTCCAGCTGCTGTCATCACACATGCTGGCTGATGGGCATTAGGGACCTAGCACACTCTTGGGGAAGCTGGAGGTGTGTGTTACAGTGGGGCTCCTTCTCCCTCCTTCATGGAGGGTGGAATAAGGAAGTGGAGGCTTGTGTTGCATTGAAAATAAGCCTGCAGGCCGGATGTGGTATCTCACAACCGTAATCCCAGCACTTTGGGAGGCTGAGGCGGGAGGATTGCATGAGGCCAGGAGTTCATTACCAGCTTGGGCAATGTAGCAAAACCCCATCTCTGCAAAAAAATTTTCTAAAAAATTAGCCTAGGCCAGGCGCAGTGGCTCATGCCTATAATCCTAGCACTATGGGAAGCTGAGGCGGGAGGATTGCTTGAGGCCAGGAGTTCGAGACCGGCCTGAGCAAGACACTGTCTCTACAAAAAATTGAAAAATTAGTTGGGCGCGATGGCATGTGCCTGTAGTCCCAGCTACTGGGGAGGCTGAAGCAGGAGGATTGCTTGAGCCCAGGAATCTGAGGTTACAGTGAGCTATGATCATGCCATTGCACTCCAGCCTGGGCAACAGAACAAGACCCTATCTCTAAGAAAAAAAAAAAAAAAAAAAAAAAAAAGAAAGAAAGAAAATGAACCTGCCTATCTTTGGTTCCTGCCCCGTGTGGCTCTGAGCTCTTCTGGCAGTGTAGGCCTAACAGCAGGAAAACTTCTTTGGTAAATAGCATAATGGGCCCCCAAGCTGCCCATGTCCTTATCCCCAGACCCCATGAATGTGCTAGGTTACATGGCAAAGGGGACATGACGGTTGCAGGTGGAGTTCTCATTGCTAATCAGCAGACCTTGAGATGGGCAGATTATCCTGAGTTGCTCAGTCGGGCCTAATGTCATCACAAAGGTCCCTTATAAGTAGAAAAGGGAGGCAGGAGAGAGAGTGTCAGAGTCAGAGATTTGAAGATGCTGCTGGCTTTGAAGATGGAGGAAGGGGAGAATGCAGGTGAGCTCTGGAAGCAGGTAGAGGCTGGGAATTGGATTCTCCCCTAGAGCTCCAGGAGAGTACAACCCTGGTAGTGCCTTGAACTTAGCCCAGTGAGACCCCCCGTGCTGGACTTCCAAGCTCCAGCACTGAAAGGCAGGTTTGTAGTAGTCTGTCACAGCAGCAGCAGGAGGCTAATAATAATACCACCCCCAGGCCCGAGCAGGAGGAGCAACAGCAGCAGGCCGGACAAAGTGTGCAAGACGGAATGTGTGTTGAGTCACATCATCCCACTGACATCAAATGACAAGCCCAGAAACACCCCTTATCTGGAAAGGAATTTAGGCCTGCTGGGCTCTGTAGGCCCCTAGAGAGCCAGGCACATCGAAATGGTTCTAGAACCCAAATACTTACTATACTGCCTTTGAGTAAGGCAGGATGGACCCTAGAAGCGCTGGAACCCACCGCGGTTGTGGTTGACACAGCTGAGTAGAGACCTGGTGGAGCAAGAGCCAGGGGTCAGGACAGACTGACACTGGTACAGTTCAGTCTAGAAAGTCAAGAAGCACAGGAGGAAGTGAGTGTAAACTGAAACGCAGAGGCCCGGAACAACCCACCCCGTTGTACCCTGGAGAAGTGGAGTAGGACCCTGCACCCAGAAGACACAATTTTAAGGAGTTTTCATTTGTGTGGTATAAATTAAGAGACTAAAAAGAAAAACCAACATCCTATGCGTAGAATGGCTTCAGTAGGTTGGTGCCGGGGGAAATACGCTAAGTCTAGAAAGAGATGTTTCTCCAAAAAGGGTAAACTAGGATGACAGGGATTTTCTGTGTGTACCTAGAAACTGAAGTTCAAGGAAGATTTCTTGGGGCAAATGTGCATTTAACATTTCTTTTTTGCTTGTTTAAGTGAAAAGATAGCATTGAAATAGATCTCGAAAGGAGAAAAGAATCACCCATAATCCAAGTCCATAATGTAACAAATTTTATTTAGACCTTGTCCACAAGTGCACTTTTGCTCTGTTGCAGTTCCACTGCCGTGTCATTACTTGTGTGACTCTGTCTTTGCAGAGCTTATGTACCAGGGTCTGAGTAGGTGATCCATAGGATGAAGGTCTGTGACCTCCCAAGGGCTGAGGGGGAGGCCGGAGCCCTGGCGGGTCCGTGGAAGCGTCTCTCCCTCTGGCCACGAGCCTGCCCGGTGCTCCTGTGTGCATTTCATCCACGCCCATCCTCGGCCCTTTGGATGGTCTCAGAACCAACTCCCTCATTCCTTCCACCCATTTTCCACATTAATTTTGTGAAGCAGCATTTCAAGGGACGTCAGTTAACCTGGTGTTTCTTTCTAAACTCAGACTCCATCCCTGGAGGGGCTAGTTCTGCTGTGAGCATGGAAGCTTACCCGAAGAACCCGCACCTTCGAGCCTATCACCAGAAGATTGACAGCAACCTGGGTAAGACCGACAGCCATCCCAGCCTCCATGTCACCTGTCCTCCAGGCAGCTCATGCCGAGCACAGCCTGAGCTCTGGGAGCCTCCCATTAGTGCTGCCTGGCCACGTGTCACACCCCATGCTGAGTCGTGTCCATCTCACTGTCTGCCTCTGGACTCTGTCCACTTCTCTCCATTTCCTGCCTCTAGTCTGGCCGAGCCGTTCCCACGTCTCATTTGAATTGTGACAGCAACAGGGGCCCAGGAGTCCCTGAGAGGCCACACAGTGCAGCCTGGATGTGACCACTTGTTCCGTCTTCCCCACCCAGCCACTGGGAGCCCTGGTTTCCTCCTCTGTGGAACAGGCTGCCTCTGAGAACAGCCTGCCTCGGGGGATTGGTGGGAGGGTTACCTGAGCTGGAAAGTGCCTGGCCTGGTAAGACAGTGCTTGTATTGTGGTTGGCACATTGGCCACACAGCCACCAGAGTGAGCTTTCAAAACATAGGTGGCGCATTCTTCTGAAACTCTCGTGGCTACCCCGCACACTTAAAAACACTGCCAGGTTCCTTGCCCTCACCCCGCTTCCCTCCGCCCCGTCCCCTCCTCTCCTCCTTGCCTTGCAGGCTCACCAGGCCTTCTGATGCAAGTTCTTTCCTGCTCCGGGGCCCCCATGTCCCCAGAGTGTCCTTCCTCCCCACTGTCTGCAGGTGGCTCTTCCCATGCTGTAGGTCTTACGTTAGTGTGGCCTCCTCTCGTGGTCTCTCGGGGGCCTGCTGTTCCGTAGCACTGCCCGGCCGTTTTCAATCATGTGTTTGCTCATCTATCCGCTTGTTGCTTGAGCAGGCTATAAATTCCAGGAGAGCGTGGGGATGTTTCCATTTTGTCACCACCTTTTACTGGGGACCCAATAGGCAAGCACAAGTGACGATTTTTTGGATTGAGGGAGAAGTGAGCTATTTGCTATATTTCAGGCAAGAGTTGGCCTGTGGGCATTTCCGTGAGTTTATTCCACGTATGTCTCAGCCTTGATGCTTCCTCTTACCTGTACGAGGTGCACAGGAATCTCTACCTGGGTCTGTCAGTCTCCTACCCGTTAGGAGCTGACAGAGTTGGCAAGACACAGAAAATCTCCCCTGCCCTAAAGGTATCTAGTGGAGGGCAAACCTGAAACCCACGAAGATGCTTATTGGGTGTCCACGCACAGGCTTGTTCCTGCTCACCCCTCTCAGAAAGGGACACACTGATGGGCCCCTTTCCCTGCTTGCCCAGAGCAGTCCCCATTCCAGCAGCCCTGAGCCCATGCACAGATGACATGTTAGGCATACCCTTTTTCTTTTTAGTAACATTTAACCTTAGTTTCTGTGAATGTGGATTCACTGTAGGGGATAAACACCCATAATCCTACTGTCCAGCAGTAATCCTTGATCTGGTGTGATTCCTTCTCTTTTTCATGTACGTATATACACAGGTATATACGATGTCAAGTGTACTTGGGATCACTCAGTTATATGTATGTTTTTGTTTCTTGCTTTTTCACTTAATATCTTGAACAGTTTGCTAAACTACGATATTTCTTTGAAAAGCACCACTTTTGAGGAACAGCTCCATCCCCTGCTCTTGGACATTTAGGCTATTTCCATTGTTTGCTACTGCAAATAATCCTTTGGCCATTCCTGTGCAGAAATCTTTGGCCACATTTTGTAGCTCGATTACTAGAAATGGAATTGCAGAGTCAGTGAATATAACCTTCTTTTGGGCATTAAAAGGAATCTTCACATAAAGAAAACATTGATTTTAGAGACTAGACAAAAGCAAGAACAAATAAATAAAAGAACTGTGTTTCTAACCACCCACAGCTCACCACTTTCACCCTGGGTGTGAATGTTGATACTTCACACCTGCATGGCCAGTGCCTACTGGGGAGGCTGTGCCAGTCCCCCTGCAGCAGGGGAGGCCCACCCCAGCACTCCGCAGGCCCGAGGCTTCCGCCCAAGCCCTGCCTGCCCTTTCCCCTCAGAGCCCAGGGAAGCCCTGGACAGCTGCCTCCTGCTTCTGTCCCTTGGACTCGCCCTCCAGAGCCAGAGACTTCTCCCAGGCAAAAACTGTGTCTGCCCAGATGTGACCACTCCAGAGAAAGCCAGAGGGGCTTGAAAGCCCTCTGTCCTTTACGGGGAGAAAGGGAGTGGCTGGGGCTGTGGTATCGCAGGTACCTGCTGGTTGGGGAGGCAAGGGGGGAGACCGAGTAAGGATACTGAATTCAGGAGTGAGGCAGGATGGACTGAGCCCTGCCCACCAGTAGAGGCTGAGGGTGTGCGGTTGGCACTGAGGACTTGCAGCCTGGGCAGGTCCCTGCAGGACACAGCGTGGGGTAGGAGGGCCAGGGTGGAAGGCAGGCGACTGGTTCAGAGCCTCAGAGCTGGGCCCCCCTCCTGCTGACACAGGCCAGCCCGGCTGCCTGCGGTGGGGGGGCGCCTTTGCTCACACTTGTCTCTTCTTAACGCACCCTCCCCCCATTTAAGGGACTTGTACAAGCCCCCAAGGACTCCAGCTCCTTTGCCTGGTGGCTTTACCTTATCATACTTTTTATCTCAGCCTGGCTGTTGGCTTATCCTTTGCTGTCCCAGCTGCCCATGAGCTTCCTGAGATCTGGGGCAACTCCCAGCTTTTACTCTCCATGGAACACAACAAGGTCACGGCTTTCAATAAACTCAAGAAGCAGAGAGCTGAAGACTAATTAAAAAAAAAAAAAAAAAAAACTGACTTTTTTTGTGGTGCCAGTGCTGAGTAATTGTGTATTCTAACCTTTTCTCACTCAGTGTTTTATATTTAATTTCGCAAGTAAGAAGGCCTATGAAGCACCACCTCTTCTCTCTCCCCTCTGGCTCTTTCCAGGCCCTCTGTTCTTAGTAAAAAGGCTCTGGGCATGCCCTCCACCCCCAGTCTGCACACGCGCGCACGCACACTCACTCACACACACACACACACACACACACACACACACACAGAAAGAGACTTCACACACGGAAAGAGACTGGCAGAATCAGTTAAGTCAAGACTCCTCTCTGCAGTTGATGCAGCCCCACCAGGGGACACCAGAGTCCCTGGTCATGTCCCTTCCCCGCAGCCCCACCCTCAGTTCTCTTACACACCTTCTGTGCCGAGCGGCTCTTTCACATACTCCTAAGGCTGGCCATGTCCTTATAGACATTATCGCTCTGAAAAACAAATGTTAGATTGATTTTTACAACTTTGTGAAAGATAAGGCAAATACTGGAAAAATCTAAGGAGGGAAATAGAATAACTAACTCAAGGATTCCAGCCACTAGAGTAGCTTGTTGTGGCCAGGTCACTCCTGGGTGCCTTCCTCTTGCAGGGCTCACCTGAGCCAGAGCACGCTTAAGGAGCAGGGTCAGTGTTTGTGCTCCGACCTGGTGGAATGTACCCGAATCCTCCCTCCCCTGTGTGGAAGTGAGGCTCTCACTTATCATGTCTGGACTTGAATTTCAGCAATAATTTCAGTAACCGATTACAAGAGCTGAGCCTTTGCCAAAAGTCCTGTGCTCCACAGTTAACTGGAGCTTAGCCCGATGACATCTTTGAAGGAGCCCAGCACCTCAGCACTTCGTTCTTTGACATGGGGACTCTAGGCTGCAGGGGTCTGTGCACTCAGCTTGTGCAGAGACCACTGTCTTTTTCCTGACCACAAAGTCAGCAAAAGAAATGGTGCCAGCCCACTTCTGGGAAACATGAGCTGACTGTCCTAACCCAGCACATCCCTAGCAGCCATATGTTCATGGATCTTGGAAGTGGTAGCAATGAATGAACAAATGAGGGAAAGTGTGAAGTTAGTAACAGAAGTAAAGAGTTTTTACAGCATTTGGGTCCAGTGGGAACATCTGTAGTTCATGTGTTTTCTGGCAGAGCACCCCAGGGAGCAGGGCAGGGAGAGAGGCCCCCTTCTACTGCCACCCGCAGAGCAGACTGGGGAATGTAGCCTTCTTTGGAGGGGAGCCCGGGGCTGGAGCAGCCTGGTGACAGGGCTTCCCACATCTGTCTCTCAGAGGTGTTTCCAGTGGTGGTCCCATTATTTGACACTGCAGATCTGGGCTTGATCTAGCCTTAGGAAGCTGGAGATGGAAGGACGGAAAGCAGCACTGCTGTGTTCTGTCCACTGGTGTGGGTTTTTGCTCTTAAAGGTGAGGCCAGGGGTCTGGCTGTTGGGGGCCAGTGTACCTCTCCCAGGTGTCCACTGTGGAGTCTAGGAAGGGAACGTGTTCCCCAGGCCCTTCTATGCTTCTCTTTTCCTTGGGCAATAACTGATCTTGCAATGTGCAAAAACCTACTAGAAGATTCAGAGGCAGCTGAAAAACTATGTAGATCTGTATGTATTTTTTAAAATATTGAAGGACAAACACTGTCATATTTAACACTGGTTATCTTGGGGGGCAGGGAATGCCCTCCACATTAAGCACATATTACTTTGTATTGAGTAAACAAATTTTCTTTCTGCTTGCACACATTTTGGAAAACGTAACCAAAGCCCTGGAGTGTAGCCTGCCTTATGAGAAAGAAGACTCAGTAACATAGAAGTTGCTGTGCCCCTGGGAGGGAGTAAGCAGCATTTCCAGGTGCCGTTGACTGTTCGCTCAGGCCTGCGTCTCATTTCCTTCTCCCACAGATGAGCTATCCGTGGGCCTGGGCCGTCTGAAGGACATAGCCCTGGGGATGCAGACGGAAATCGAGGAGCAAGATGACATTCTTGGCCGACTGACAACCAAAGTGGACAAGTTAGATGTCAATATAAAAAGCACAGAAAGAAAAGTTCGACAGCTGTAAAGACAGAGAATGATTTCCACTCCATTGTGACAAAAAGATTCTAAAGATCTGTTTTGAACTTCCAAGAAATTTCATTTATTATTTTAGTATGTAATTTAAAGTGTTGCAAATGTTATAATAGAGTGGGTCTTTAAGTGATTTTTGTTGTTGTGAGGAAGTGCGTGTCCTGCTTTTTCCTAGGGCCGAAACCTAAGTTCTGTCAGCAAAATGCTTAAGAGTTTTAGTCTGAGCACAGTAGCCTGGCCCTAAATATCTTGGGCCTTTGAGTACCATGCTGGAATGAGAAGGAAAAGTTGGATTTCTCACTTTAATGAGTGTATGGAAAGATGTGGGCAGAGTTTGAATCTTGCAGCCACCAACCTGAATTTCCCTATTTGCTGTATTTTTCATTCCCACCATGAGTCAGCACGTTAAGGGACATCGTGAGCCACTAAAGGACCACGTGAGCCAGTCGTTTGTGCAGGGAGGGACCTCCCCAGACCTTTGGTTAGGAGTCATCACACACACACAGGCTGAGGGCATTTTTTGTGAGTCTCTTGTCCCCCTGGAGAAGGATCAGTGTTAGATTTGGAAATGGAGTATGTTGCATTCTTTGCTCTTTTGTTGACAGGTGTCACCTCTTCCCCTCTTGCCCTCCATCCTTGGCATGTATTTTAGTAGCAGGCTCTAGACCAGCGCTGCTCACTGTGGTGTCTGGAACTGTGCAGGGAATTGGGTGAGCTCTTCCTCTCCACCTGCTCTCATCTTGAACTCTCCATCTGTGGTTGGGAACAGGTTCTCCACTAGCTCAAGGCCACCCAGCTGACAGACTGGGGGGCCTTGTAGAATTTGTGGGAACGGAGTATCACACAGATGTGGCTAACAGTGATCTTCTTCCACTCAGCCCTCCACCCCTCTAGGAATCACCATTAGCCAGGCCTTGGTGTAGCAGAAGTTTATTGGGTACCTGGGGCCTCCTGACCTGTCCAGGACTCCCACCCCCTTCTGCATTTCTTACAAGATGACCTGAATCATCACTTGGTTCTCTGCCACCCAGTTTTAGGATGAGAACTCCACAAATGATGCCCACTGTATAGAAGGATTTGGCTAAGGGGGGAAAAAAGCCCAGATATTATCATTTTAAGTGGCCCAGCTTGTTCTCTCCTTTCATTTTACGAAAGGAATCATTTAGGAGCGTTAATTAAACCAACTTCTGTAATAAAACTGATTTCTTTGTGTTGGTAACTCCAACAAAATATTTTGAAGATGGTGAGAGGGACTGATTTTAACAGTAAGATAGGTCAGAAATTTTAAAATAACAGTGCCTTTTACCTTAAAACATGGCACTGGCCTTTAGAGTTTGCAGCCTATAAACAATAGTCCCTCAAAGCAAAGAAAATCACTATGAGTGCTGCAATTGTGCATTAGTATTTATGTAGCAATTTGTTTATAAAACTTCCCATCCCGTAATGCATGACCTTCCTAAAAGTACAGCCTCCAGAGGCAAACACAACTTTTTGTGCACACTGGTCACAAAAAGCCAGCTCAGGGATTCTAATCCATATCGTTACAGCCGTCCCAGGTTGGGAAGACTTGATTAAAGTGATCAAATTAGACATTTGTTTATCAGATAGGCTCAGCATTATTATTCTCTTGATAACTGATAAAAGGAAAATTTTAAACACAACACCCAGCCCAAACAAAACTAGTTCATGGGGCTTGTAGCAAAAAGGCTGCTCAAAAGCATGAAACCAGAACGCAGAGCAGCCCTCTCAGACGCTCCCACTCCTAATTGTTTCTTCCATGTGCGTCGTAATAACTTTCTCTTTGTCATCACCGGACATAATAGACTCGTGGAGGTTAGTCATTATACCTCAGACCTAAACTAACTTTTTCAAATAAATACATGTAAAGGCCACTGCCAAACATTCTCTGAGGCCTTCTGTTTGCATAATGAGATTAGGGATTTAACTGACTTGAAAGAAAGCATTTTTTTTGTACCTTCCCTGTCTTTTGTTAGATTGAGGAAGCCAACCATCCCCTCTTTCCTGTTTTTGGTTTTTCTACTCCATGTATATAGAGTTGCCCTGACTTTTCTAGAAATTTGTCTTCCTCCAACACATTAGAGGGCATCATATATTTTTTATTCTATTCTTGTTTAGACCCTGTTGTTCTAAGGCCTTTGCTGAGGGTCTGTCCCTAGTCTGTGTGATGGCCAGCTGCTGCTTTCTGCTGGGGCTTCCCCCTCTTCCATGCCCATGAAGGACCTGTTGCCGATGCTGCTTTATAAAGCAGAGTTGCTTGCATTTTCACAGAGAACGAAGGAAGACCTGAGACAGCTCCAGAATCTTCACGATTGTGATCAAAAAGAAAATATGCCACTCTCTAGACTAGACACATCTCATGGAGACCCACAAAGGTGCTAGGGCTGGGGTTGGCTGTGGGATGGCTTTGGTACCACAGAAAATACCAGTGAACTCATGCCCCTTGCCAGATGGAGTCCCCTAAGACAGATTTTTTGATTTCCAAAGTTCAGCTAGGAACAAACTGTGCCTTCAAAAAAGTGGCTCTTCTAACTTAAGGTTGGTTAAGTGTGCTACTAACTTAAAAAATAAGTGCATTCTCCTTCGAGGAAACTATTTCTAACATCTTGTAATGTGTAATATGGCAGTGGAATTGCCTTGTGGATGTCTTTTTTACATTGTATAGGAAAGGACACCTGAATTTAACTCAGGTTGCAAGGAAAAAAAATACGTCAGTGCATTTTAATCTCTCTTTCTCTAACTTCTTTTTGTGAATATGTAATTTAAGTGTACACTACACCAATTTAATATTAATCTTATATTTTGTCCGTATAGGCCTCTTCTGCAAAATTTTTAATGTTACCAGTGTTGTTAAGCACCTTCAGCTCTGATGAATGCAATGTCTTGTGTGATGAGCTTAGTCATTAAAAGTGCTCATTACATGGCAATGGGGTGGGGTCTTTTGTTCAGTCTTTATCAGAACAGGTCTTATCATCCATGCCTTCAACTCAACAAATGACCATATTCCATAAAATAAAATGTGAAGTTGTTTTTTAATCAAATTCTGTCTCCTACATAGTTATTTTCAACAAGTTGGTGGAGGGGATCCTTTGTTTAGTCTTCGTATTTGGGTGTCCATGCCGCCTTTAGCCCTATAAACAGCTTTCCTTCTTGAAGCCTTCTCATTTGGTCGGTCAGTCTTCCAGTCTGCCTTCTACCTCCCCATGCCCTCTGCAGCACCAGGGCTCCACGAACTTCTTTGAAGGGCCAGAGACTCAATGTTTTAGGCTCATAGGCCAAACCATCTCTGTAGCAGCTATTCAACTCTGCCATTGTAGCACAAATGCAGCCAAAGCCAACAATAAGTAAATAAGTGAGAGTGGCTGTGTTCCAATAGAACTTTATTTATGGACACTGAAATTTGAATTTCATGTAATTTTCACATCATGAAGTACTGTTCTTTCATTTTTTTCACCCACTTAAAAATATAAAAACTGCTTAGTTCACAAGAGGTACAAAACAGGTAGCAGCCTACATTTGGCCCATGGGCCACAGTTTGCCACCCCTGTTCAGACTGTGGGAAGGTATTCCTGTGGGTTGGGGAGGAAGGATGACTGGCCACGGTACTCTGCAAGTGGGTTCCCCATCAGGGCTCCCAGGCCTTCTACTGGGCAACATTGCAGCCCACCAAAAAAGGGAGAGCAAGCCAAGTCTCACCCTGGCTCCATTATTCTGCCTCATCTTTGTGTGTGACCACAGGCCAGGAATTACTTCTAGATCCAAAAATTCTGAGGAAGCCCCTGTAGGCTAGGGTAGGCCATCATGGAAGTTTTTAATCTATCAGTGGATTAGCTGCCCATGTCCCAAAGACCACAAGGTTTTAGGGGACATCATCCTTGGGCATCATTATAACAAGGGATGTTGAGGGTTTGAACATGGGCAGTGGACTTTTCCAGAGAGAAAAAGTAGAGGACATAACAGAGGAAGAAGCAGGAATGAAAAAATCAAGGTGGTTCACATTTGGAGCTTGGAGTGGAAGAAAGGCTGGAGTTTGGGCTGTGAGTGGGAGATGACATGAGCAAGCTAGGCAGGTCCTAGTATGAGAGGCCCTGTGTGCCACACTGTGGAAAAGAACATTGACCTTCAGTGACAGGGAGGTGTTGATGGATTCTAAGCAAGAGAGAGACATGACCAGATTTTGAAAGGATCATAAAGATGCATCACGGCATTATTTATAAAAGAAAAACAAAACAAAAGTAGCACCTAGAAACAACCTGATTAAGGAGATGATGGAGTAAACTATGGTCCACTCATAGACAAATGCAGCTAGAAAAAGTTTTCAAACAGCATATGGGATAGTGCTTGCAAGATTAACATGGGGAAAGAACAGACATAAAATTGATTATATGGTATGGTCCCAATTTTGTGGAAAAGCAAACCAATATGTGAATTTAAAAAAAAAAAATATCACCCTTATATAGGTGAGGAGGACAAGCTGGGAACAAGCTAAAGGAAGACTTTTGTCATGGTCCAGGCAAGAACTAAAGAGAGGCCCAAACTAGAGTGGCAGGACGGGGTAGGAGGCAGGGGCGGGCTCCAGAGCACTGGGTGGGACAGGATTTATTAAGTCTGAAATGGATTTATTAAATCTGAAATGTCCGATTTCAAATTAAAAGTTTAGTTTATTATATCTCAAACATGAAGCAGTACAATTAATCAAAGTATGTGCCTAAACTATTGACACAGTTTTGCCATCTTAATGGTAGCTTGCTTATGCCAGCAGCGAAGAAGCCTGGAGAGTGAGTGGCGATGAAAGCGCGAAAGGCATTTCCCATAGCTTGTCGAGAATTGGATGTTTTTCCTTGCAAGAAGTGGTCCAAAGTCTAGAAGAAGTGGTAGTCAGTTGGTGCAAGATCTGATGAATATGGTGGATGACAGAGAGTTTCCAAGTCCAGCTTCTGTAGTTTGAGCAACATGGCGATTGTGTGACAGCGTTGTCTTGCAAGAGGATTGGTCTATCTCTATTGACCAGTCTTGGCTGCTTAATCACAAGGATCTGCATCATTTCGTCCAGTTGGTTGCAGCAGACATCTGCTGTAATCCACTGACCAGGTTTCATGAAGCTATAG